TCATTCACGTAGAGCGCACCAGTCTTTAGATTTACCTCGAAATATTTCCTCTTCGATCCAGCAACGATCTGAAACATGCGAGACTCCAAATCCTGCACATTGATGTTGAGATCTTTAGCGATATTTCCGACAACAGTCCCGACATTTGCCTCCTCTGAGACGGAGTAAGAGAGCTGCCCAGAAACCGCTTCCCAGTAACAATCCAGCAGCACGAACAACAGATATATCCACACAGAGCTCGATCTATCCAGTAAATGCATAATGACAGACACGGAGAAAACGCATGTGTACAAATATGGAAAATATGTCACAGCAAGCACGAAATCCAGGATCAATGAGAAATTACTCCAACGAAATAGTTCGACATGTTCGCAGCGAAGCAAGACAACCGTTCTTTGTCGTCCGATGTCTCTTTGTAACAAAGCCCGCAGATGCATCATCCACTGAATCTGGGAGGAGTCCTAAGTTACCAAATAGACCGTCGAAATGTGATGGTCTGCAGTGTCCTCATGTGGACATTTATCCAAATTACATGTCTCGTCAGCTGTAATACCATTAGAATGGAATACACTGAACAATATCCATATTACATTGGGAAAAGAACACCGGTTTCCAAATCTAAGGTCAAAAACTGAGAATTACAAAGCGTATTTGTCCCATGGACTATTCAAATTTTTACGACTACACCTATTGGTAAGATTATGACTTGTTTTCAAAACGAGCATAACAACCAAGCAAAAGGCTTGAACCACAGGGGTATGGAGAATATAATGCACTCCATTTTAACTGATTACAAATGGTATTGCAAGAACTAAATATATGGACCGGCATCGAACACATTTGTCCACCTGCAATACATTGTTATATAGTTGCTAGATATGTTGTTTACTGTTTTATTTGGAAGAAATAAAATAAACACTGCAGTTGATCTCAGCTTTGTTCTGCCGTCTTAAAAAAAAAAAAAAAAAAAAAAGACAGGTTCCCTCTGTCGATTTCAGCACCGCGGATAGCGAACCTCGCATTAGAATAAGAATTGGCAATGATTCGCAAATTAAAAAACAACAACAAAGACAAAACGGTCACAATTCACAGCAGGCTAGAGTCAACAATACTGGCCTAAAACTTAAGAATCTTGATTGCTTCTTCT